GTATTTTTGTAAACGATATCCTTTAGAATCCGTTCGTCTGTCTTGTATGCAGTGGAGAATTGGTTTTTATAGTAGCACTGAAACGAGTTCTGTTCTAATATTGATCATATTAAATAATGTGTTATTAAAAGGGAAAATATAGGTGAGGAAAAACAATAATTTCGTATTCAGAAAGAAAAAATTATCACTACGTTTTTTTTCAGTATATACTATTCCTAATAGTGAAATGCCCAATATACAACCTTTCCCCCTGTTGTTTATTATTGATGAGTGAGAAAAGTGGTTCTCCTGTACGCATTAAATGATGTTGATGCTTCCTTGTAGTTTTTAAATGGTAACGATAGCAACACAAAAACGGCGAATGTATTTATAGTTAACATATGTGGTGTGCATTTAAAGAACAACATACAACGTGCACTTCAAGCAAATTATTCGGTATTACTGAAGACGTTGATAGTAGTAGTACGTATAACAGCGATCGTTAAACACAAAACTTCTTAATGATTTATATTTTCTACACCTACCGCATTGATCGAACTTCGAATTCTAGAGTTATGAATTCTCAAGCTTATTGTTTCTTTGTTTGATGAACTTTTGCGCAAAGCTGTTCGAGGCCTATCTCCGATTGCCATCCTTAATTTTGAAGTGATAGACTAGAGGCGAAACCGCTGGTCAGCATTGCCCACTGATAACTCTAGAGCTACTGTTTTACCAACGAATAATGGGAATGACTGACACATTATAACGTCCCTGCGCTAAAGGGATGAACATATTTGGCGACAGGGTCCAATACTACGAAACACAGATAGTGAGTTGAGCAACTTAACCATCAGGCCATACCGGATCCTTCAAGCCTATCGAAGAGCCACCGCGGGGGGGGGGGGGTCATAACTGATTTAACCGCTTTGGCAGGTTCTTCAACTTGCTAGTTACAAGAAAACGCCAAGAATAGCTTATCAGAAAGCAGCTGGAAACCAAAACCAATTTTTTGTCATTCATTTCTGTCGCTCCAAGAACCTGTCGCCCTGTGCAAATGCACGTGCTGCACCCTTGGTCGAGCCGGTCCTGAGGTGAACGCATGAATGACTTGCCAATAAAAAGTCGTCAAAGCAGAACGCAGATGATAAATATCCAAATGGTAATACAACAAAAGTATCATTATGTCAGGGCATTGATTTCCACGAATCTCCCTGTTTCTCTTTAAAATTAAGTTTGTAATTGTCCTTAATTAACTGAATGGAGCTCTATTTTTCTCGTTTGTAAGCAAGAGTGGAAGTATGGAAACATGAATGAATACCGGAAACTAGGTGTGTGTGAAGAGTCAATTGTATGTCTTTACTGATTGGCTGTCTGATTCATGAGATGCGTTAAAACAATTTATTGATTATAGTTATTCTGAAAATCCATAAGTGAAAACAAAAGAGAATACATTTTAATACGTCAACCGGGGGTGTAGCCAGCACTACAAAGAGCGTATGTGAAATGTTTTATTCACAGAAAATATGTAGACTTTTTCTTTTATACAAAGAATTTAAGTGATTTACTTTAGCCTAAATGAAACTTGAACTTGTTTGTTTGTTTGTTTGTTTTTGAGCACGAAGCTACGCAATGGGCTATCTTTGCTGGGCCTACCATGAGTATCGAAACTTATAAAACAAATGTACGCGAAGGTTAAGGATCAAGTGTTTATTACAAACTCATAAGATGGTAGATCTTTCATACTTTTAGAATATTGGACTCGTTGTTAGACCCACACGACCCCTCCCATTTTAGCTACGCTCTGGTATTATACAGTACTGACGAGGCTTTTCACCTATTATCAGGGCTCATCAGGACTGCTGGGATACGACAGACATAGTAAATGAATTGTAATTATTATCAATTATAGGTAACTCATAATGGGCGTTGAATTATTTGAGTTAGGATGGCTAGTGTTGTAACTATTCTATCATTAGCCGGTTCTACGTAACGATTACGAATTAGTTTACTTCTTTCACTTGTTGAAATTTTGAGACTAATGGTATGCCCAACTCACAAGTAAACTTACTTGTTAAATCTCTGCTCAATAATCAATTGATAACAAACATCTAAATAACTCACAGTATGTTTTACGAACTCAATCACAGAACTGAATAACTTACTGACTGGCACTGAACTGATTCATTCTTTGGCTGAATATTCACTGATTCTCGTAGTTATATCGTATTTTTGTTTTTAATTGCAATGAAATTATGAATTCTAAAGAGGCCTTAAGTTTCAGGAACTTTCTAGATATTGCATCATGCGCCTTCTAGCAAATAAACATCTATATTAAAATATTAAAAATGTAACTTACAACAGTAACGTTCCTGGGGTTTTGTTTGATAGGTGGTTGTTTGATTGTTTCAGAATTTCAAACAAATCTACACAAATGATGTATGCGCACAGTCGTCCACATTTTTGAATTCGTTGACTATAAGGGAGGCAGCTAATCAACAGCACCCACAGACAATTCATTGTCTGATATAATAGTTGGGTTTGACCTTCACTCTTATAGTTATAGCCTACACATATAGAAATAGAATCGTAATAAATTATTCATAATCGTTTACTGGTAGGTTTAAAATAAAATAAAACTATGAGATGAAGCCTATTCTCAAGAGAATATCATATTTTGTAGATAATTTGTAATATTCCTGAACTGTAGATATTTTAGTAATTTTTCTTCCCTCTTCTATTATCACGACATCAAACACATTAGTATGATTAGCACGCTTTATGATGTAGGTTCGTAATGTACCCATATTGGTAGTCAAATGTTTAATATTAAATTACTCACAATAAGAGTAATTTTATACAAGTAAAATTATTGCGAGAGGGTTGTGGTAAATATCACTACATATCTTAAAACAGCTTCACAAACTAATTTTAGTCGGTATACTATTTTTAACTGACAAAATTTAACTTTTGAAATACATGCTGGATGACCATATACATACAACAATATGTAAGGAAACAACAGATGCGTGTTTAAATTTTGAAGATTATTCCGAAAAAAAAAATCATGTTATTTTCAATTTCAGCTAACAGTAGGTGTGACATGCGACGTCTTACTTATGGTTTTGGCAACAAACCAATAAAATTCAAACCAAAGGTTGCTCAGCTGTTTCTCTAAGAACAGAAGGTTAAAAAACGATGTTCTAAAAATGGAAAGTTAAAGAACGACCGTATTTTTTGTTGTTGGTTTTCTCTTCCAAGTAACAGAAAAAATACTGTAACTTTGGTTCATCTTGATTAATACAAATATCCTGAAACTTAAGATTTTAGAGAAAGAAGCGCAGTTTATAAAACATCTTCACACCTAGCAATGTGCATTATAAACTATATATATGTGTGTGTGTGTGCTTCCCAGTGACACAGCGGTATGTTTGCGGAGTTACAACGCTAGAAACCGGGTTTCGATACTCGTGATGGGCAGAGCACAGATATCCCATTTTGTAGCTTTGTGCTTAACTACAAACAAACTATATACGTATACCTTAAGCCATTAAATATCTCATTATATTTCTTTATCTCGACATAAGTTTCACTGTTTTCGAATCAATATTGTTCAGCCTACCCAGAAAAAACAAAACTTTCTGTAAATCAATATTCTGCTGTCTTATTACTTTTTACATTCTAGCAGAAACCACCGCTGAGTAGACTAAACCTTTATCTTTCTGAATGTTAGGTTTATTGTTTCTTGGGTTCAATCGAACTAGCCTAGGACATAAGAAAATAACAAACACTCAATTTGGATTGACAACTTTTTCCTTAACATGTAACACATGTTCAGTCATTTTCCCCGTCGTATTATATTGTTTCTGTCAAACTTCTAGAAAAGAAGAAGGAAAGACGAGTAATAAGAAATATTTACTTCATTTCCATTAAATATTTAGTTCGTAGGTTATCTATATGTGTATTTAAATTATATGTACCTAATTTATGAATTTTATTTATTTATTCTTTAATGAAAACACATTTATAAATTATTTTTATATATTATTTAATGAAAACATATTTATGAATTGTTTTTATATATTATTTAATGAAAACACATTTATGATTTATTTTTATTTATTATTTAATGAAAACACGTTTATGAATTATTTTTATTTATTATTTAATGAAAACACATTTATGAATTATTTTTATATATTATTTAATGAAAACACATTTATGAATTATTTTTATTTATCATTTAATGAAAACACAGCGCTTGTCTAATGTCAATATTACATTGAATATTT